CCCGACTAAATCACGAGTTCCAAGCAAGATATGTAGTTATGGTAATTATGGTAAATTACATTCCACGCTTTAAATTTTGTTTATAAGCTGTAATGTTGAGGCGAAAAAAAACGTACATTGACTCTTGTTTAAAACACCTCTACAACGGCCACTGTCTTCTTTCCTCAAGGTGGGTGTTGTAGAGAGGTTCAACTGTATGCATATCTCGTAAATCAGATTAAATTTTTGCATAATAAGGAACCAAAGGTGTCCCCGCGACCTTAAGCTCTGCCGTGGTGAACCAGCAGTTAAATTTACAATAGGAAAGCATCCCATCTGGCTGGAGGAGAATCAGCTGGTTATTTAGAAGCGCCACTGAGGAGTTAAAGTCGGAACCCTAATCCATAAACAGCCCCAACTAGGCTAGTGGCCAGAGACTGGTTTGAACTAGAGCAATTGAGTGAAAGCCTGTACCCAATAGACAATTTATCTACAGTAAGAATCAGCCTGTGTAGCATCGCACAAGAAGATACTGCTCCGAAGCTTTCTTTTGAATGATCAGACTTAAGGATGTTATCCACAGACTCACGTTAGAACCAGTCTGTACAGTAGAATAAACTACAACGTAGAAAAATTAATTGCTATTTTCTTCTCCTTAGTCTGCGGACGTACCATCTCTAGAAGACAAAGTGCGCAAAATGATCGACGAGGACTTAGTGGTGAGTATTACGCAGTTTGGCAAACCAATTGAAGGCAAAGGCAACATGTCCAGTTTGGAGAGCCTAACTAACCCCTTTTCACATTCGTTCTGTGAAAAACAAAGACGTCAAATGGTAAAATTCAGGAGTTTGTGAGGAACGCGTACACCTGGCGCCAGTTGTTCAAAAAGTGTATGGTGCTATCCAGTGGATAACGCAACTGGTTTTGCTAACACTATCTAGCGTTTGAACAACCGGGGCCTGAAGGTAAAATATTTCTGTGTTTCGGAGAACTAGAAAGCTGTGGTTATGAATTTGAAACCTGAAAAATTCTTTTATATCCTTTAAGCAAGGCCAAATGATCAATTTGTAACTACTGCCAAGAAGTTCAAATGAAGCCCTAATTTTTACAGACGTCTGTATAGTGGGGGACAAGTTTGTTCTCAACCCCACCATAAATTTCTCGTCTTTGTGAAGGTATAATTCGGCTCGTTTCTCAAACTCAACGGGTTTACTAATTGCGTTCGACGTAGGGAGAATGCAACCTAAACTCAACGCACGAGGAGCCCTGTGTACAAGCATTTAACAGAAAGAAGTTAGACTTTTAGCAGTCTAGATGTGGAAATACATCATAGACTGCGTGCGCGGCACCCGTGACGATTCGTTAGTTGTCATGGCGCTTCGGAGAAAAGCATGAAATGCTATGGGGATATTGAGAACGTTCAATATCCCAACCGTAAGACCTATTTAAAATTTCAAAAATGCTGTCTGCTGTGTTCAGTTCGTCCGGGCAATGAATATAAAATTGTGTTTTCCTGTACTGGTAAGAGCTACTGTATTTTAGATATACTTATATATTGAATATACTAAGAACTTTCTTTAATATTTCACTCGGGTTATATTTATTTAACAAGCCACAAAAGCATTAAAAACACTGGTGATACTTCGGTCTTGATAAAAAAAGAACGTGGCTCTGACGGACCCAGCTCCCTGTTTAAACTCGTTTCCGTAATAATAATAGTAATATTACTTATATTGCGCAAATTACATGTGCATATAATCAAATGCGCATCATATATAAAAGCATATTAACTAACAATAAAACTATAAAAAGTTAAAACTACGTGATTGAAAATTTACAAAATATCTTTTGGACCAACTAAAAATCTAGTTTTAAAAATGTTATAAAAGTATTAAAATGTTCCACAGTTTTGGTGCCCACAGCCGAGAAGGCGCGGTCACTAAGTGTCGTATAATTAATAACTCTTGGAGCTTGTAGGAGGAGTCCTTTGTTTGACCTCAAGTTGTACCCTCCACTTTCATTGATATTAATAAGTTCACAAATATAACTTGGAGCATTAGCCCATAAATTGCTTTAAATGTAATAAACATAATTTTAAATTCTATCCTAAATTTCACTGGAAGCCAGTGTCATGAATGTAAAACCGGAGTGATGTGTGAAAATCTAGGTATATTAAAAATTTTCTTGTTGCAGAGCTCTAAGGCGTCGAAGTTTTGTAATATGTATGAACGGAAGACCATATAGAATACTGTTAAAATAATGGATACGTCCTATTATTAGTACATTAGCCAATGTTTGTGTTGCTTTGGCACTTAAATATTTTCTTATACGCCTGACATTTTTAAGATGGTAATAGAGTACTAAAGTTTGACGTCATAAAAATGAAATTTCTGAAATTATGGGATTTGTCAGGACATTCTGAAAGCCCAGTTATGCTTGCAAAACTCCATACAAACCCTTCTAATTTTTTTTTGGTTCGACCCAAAAAAAATTTAGAAGGGTTTGTATGGAGTTTTCTGAGTATAACTGGGCTACGATCTCAGAGACAATTTGCCGCAAAATGCTCATTTTTGGCAAGTAGGCCTCTTGGACATTGTTCTTTCAGAATGTCCTGACAAATCCCATAATTTCAGAAATTTCATTTTTATGACGTCATCACTTTAGTACTCTATACGCGCCTTTACATGTATTATTATGTGAACCTGTAGGCTAAGACTAGTGTCAATCCAAGTACCTTAATCAGATTTAACCGCGGAAACAAAGGGTACACGAGCATCCACATGAACTGTAAGACAGTCAACTTGAACCTGTGGCAACTGCTGTTGCGCACCTATAACGATAACTTCTGTCTTACCGTCATTGATCTCGAGTTTATCACACAACATCAACGCTCTGATTTCACGAACGCAGAGCTCCACTCAGTCAGGCGTAAAGGCTAAGTATAACTGCGTGTCGGCTGCATAAGCATGTACACTGGGCAAGTGTCTTTTGACCACCTAAATAGTAACGGTCCTAAACAGGAGACTTGTGGAACACCTTGCTTCAACTGGAAAGCGCGGAACAGTTGCCATTAATATAAGTGAAACACGTTGAAGCCGATTTGATAAATAAGACGCAAACCACTCGAGCGCTGTTCCTCTTATTCCAAAGCTTTGACTGAGACGTGATAGCAAGAAAGAGTGTTCAACCGTATTAAATCAACACTGAGATCGAGTAGAACAAATTGCTCCACATGTTGGCAATTCATGGCGATTAGTATATCATTGGGTATCTTAAGAAGTGCTGTCTCCGTACTATTACCCTTTCTGTATGCAGACTGTAGCATAGGTTAATGTCGTGATAGTTCACTGAATCCTACAAACTATATTCATATGCAACTGAAATTCTAAAGGTAATCATTCGAACTCACTTTCTCATCCCCGACTACTGTTAGTTTTAAGGAACCCTTTTCCAGCAGTGGCGTTTGATTTGCGGTAACTGGTCCTTGTCAAAAACGTGAATGGGTCTATTGGAATTACGTCATTCTCTTTTGGTTAGATGGATTGTTGAATCTAAACTCCAACGTTTGTTTTGTTTTGTTGTTGTTCTTTACTCCGACTACGCTTTCTTGAAGCAAAAACATTCCTCCTGGTTAGCTCTTTCATGTTCACTTGGTTATTGATTGATTGATTGATTTATGTTTTTCAGTTATCGAAGGACCAACGTCGTGTCTTAACAGATTCATACGTTGCCTCATCGGCGAAGAAGGCAATCGAGCAAAGATTGCTAGGATTCCTCAATTACAATTCATATCACTTGCCCATGTATGCCAAACCAGGAATGGTGTGACATAGCAATTCTCTGTTTAAGAGTAGATTGCGTGACTTGTGAGATGTGAGAAGGAATGCATAGTACAGTGTATGTAAAGATGAAGAAAGAGCATCGTTATTACGTTTTTTAGATTTGCCACGTTTTGTGTAAGAGAATTTTTAGTGATGTGAATCAGAATTTAGTGACCCTGGCAACTGTGTTGCATTCGAGATCCTTGACTCTGCACTGGAACGAACTGATAATATCTAACAAGAAATAAATTTGAAAAAATAGAACCTCATAAATACTGAGTTTTAACTGTAAAAAGATACTTCTGCATGTGCTATGATTTACATCTGCAAAAGCAAATCCGTGGATTCACAGTGGACGACTCAGCCAAAATGCCATCTCCAAGGTGCCCCCTAAAACCTCTGTGTTATAGCGAGGTTAAGTGCGAAGCCATTGACATAAAAATAATTTTCCATTCTCATGCAAAGAAAACTCATTTTCACAAGAAATTTTAATTAACATCGTTAGCATGTACAAATGACTACAAGAATTTACAAGACGAGGAATGGAAGGCAATTAACATGAACATAAAAACAGAAAAGGTCTAGCTATTTAGGATTTTGGTGAAACCTTGGTGAAACGTTTCCATTGGGACAACTTAAAGCACGCTCGATCCAGTTGTTAGGATATTCTGATATCCAGAACCGTCAAAGCACAAAACTAGTCAAATAAGATTTTGTCACTAATTATTGTAGTCCTGCACGTTTGATGTATTACTCATTGAATACTACGTTTCGTGCTTGACATAACAGTTGAAAACGTGTTGAAACACAGGCCAGAACACATGACAAAGAGCTATCTGTAAACACAGGTGATGTCAGGATATGTTGACCGATAAAATATTTACAATCCCCCACAAGAATATCTCATTCCCCCCACCCTCGGCTTCTTAACCATGATCTGTTTCACCTTTCTCGAACTCTTACAATGGCCACCATTTTTGAAATCCCAGTGTCCCATACAAAAGATGGATTTTGCAACGTATCATTTAGACGAGCAAGTTTTCCTTGTCAAAGTTCTTGTGGTGGAGCTTTGTTAATAAGCAAAATTTATTGTTCTCGCTCATTTGGGGGAAGATTGACGTTTGACCCTTATTCATTCAGAGCTTGAAAACATCCTGCTGTTTGTTACTTGCCCTTCTTCCAATGAAATCGTATGTAAGGGTTATTTACCTGAAGCGAGAGGGTATGTGATATATTCACCTGCTACCACGCCGAGGGTGCTTATAACTGACCGCTTCGAAACAAGCTATATCAGTGCTGATCGAAAACGTTTTGCATTTACTGGTTTTTAATTAAGCTTCAAAACGTCACCAGTCGAATTTAAAGGGGGACTTATGATCGGACGTTTTGTTTGTTTGTTACAAGAAGATGAGCCTGTAACTGGCGCCAGGGGCTTTTAAGTGGGGCTGTTTATGACCGGCAGTTAACGCTATTGTGTTATTGAGATTTAGATCCTTTATGTATTGCTAGAATCATAAAAATACCGCTGAAAACACAATTGTCAACACTAATTGCAGAGTCGGAAACAGGCAGTAAGATTGCCTATACTTAAATTGACCAGTGCCAATATATTCCACCGATATAACAGGAAATCAAAAAAATATAAAGAATAAGACCAAATTATGTTACTAATTTAAGCGCTTGATCTGGGGTCTAGCTTTGAGTGAGTGCTTAAAAAACGACCAGACGGCTGGCAAAGCAGCCATAAGAATATAAGAGTCAGAAAGGAACCCTTCTGTAAAATTGATTTTGCCATTTAATGCCTTTAACCGGTCATTTGGCCGCTTTTAAGGGGTCTACAAAAACTAACTTAATTTTTGTTCATTTGTCCTTTTGTCCTCCAAGTAACTCAAAATATTGTTAAGTGGTGAGTTTATTACTGTCAGACGCTGATGGCAAATTTTATTCTTAAAAACTGCACTTAAGCAAAGCCGAGAAAAGCTTTCACGCTCAGTAATGCTCTATTAGGATGACTTTGCAATAAATAAAACTGATCATTACGGTAAAATTAAAAGGCAAGAGACCTACGAAAGAATTCTTTTTTCGAAAAGATGTCTTGTCCACATTGTATTAAATTGTCTTTATGGTTTCCCCTATTATTTATATTGCTTGCTTAGCATTTTCTATTTGAAGACCCACGGCTTAAAAATAGCCGCTTTGTGGTTTAAGAGACATTGTCCTCATGACGTCTTAATAACGGTCTCTTAAATAAAAGGTCTTTTGAAAATCGGTACCTTCCCTTGAACGCATTTTTTTAAAATAAATCATTCTTCAAAACAGTGCAATTGGGATAGACGTCTGCAATTAAAATGTCTTGTACACATGTACGTAAGCGAACTACAACAAGATTACCATTTCTTGAACACGTGCTGTTTTACATGCATGGGTAATTTTAATTTAGTTTTTATTGACCTTTTTAAACAGGGGAACTGCAACACGATTAAGGATCCCCACCATTTTTTCCTTCGGTATTTAAATAATTTTGAACAAAACTCTGACTCGAATCTTGGTAGCTAGGGCAATCGACACTGAGGAATATTCTAGTGAAGGATAAAATAAACAAGTGCGTTCTGCTGAAAACGTGCTAATCACCATTCCTTTTAATTTTATCGCCTTTCAACCAGGTGAACTCCAAAGAAAAGACAGATAACATGTTTTGTCATAACCTTGAATCAAACTCTGACTCGACGAGGTTTTCAGGCCTCATCAAATGGATTTTCCTTAGAGTTCGTTTCGCAGCCTCTCGTAACTCACTCACGCGCCAGAAATAAATCAGAGGGTTTACCGCCGCGTTCGTAAATACCAACGCGACTGCCACGCAATGAGCAACCGATACTCTCATGTCTTCCTTCGCTTGTAAAGCACTGGTTGCAGTTGTAATAACAAATGGAATATAACTCCCAACAAACGCGCCCACAAGAAGAATCATGGTGTTTGTGGTGCGGCGAAATCTGGCCATGTCCCTCCCATCTTGAGATCGTAAATGTTTCATGTGTAGATTGTGCCTTTTCACAGTCTTTAAAATCATAACATAACAGAGGCTATCGCCAAGAGCTATCAGACAGCAGAAAGCCACAAGTATGTAGGTGAAAAGTCGAATCCTTACTCCAAACCACAAAATTGTTATCCATGTTATCCATATGAACCAGTAAATAAATACAGTGATAATCACCCGAGTAGTAGTTATTAACTCGGTGTATCGGAGGTGAAAGTGAAGGGCGAGATATCGCTCGACGCTGATAGCTGAAAGCGTTAAGAAGGAAACACCACTAAACAACCAACTCGTGTAAAAGTGAATAAACACAGCATAGCAGTAATATTCCATTCGTCCCAAAATAAGGCAAATTTCTGCGACCACGAAGGAAGGTTGGCAAGAAAAACCAACAAAAAAGTCCGAAACTGCCAGCGAACAAAGCAAAATGTTTTTGGTTTCATGGCGTAGCGATGGAGTCCAACAAATCGACAGAATGACCATTGTGTTAAGCAAAAGTGTAGCGCAGCAAGTTATGATGTTAAATACACAGGCTACAACTGAAGCTATAATGTAGAAATTAGGCAAACTGTCTCTGACTTGTACGTCTAAAAACGGTTCAAGAGTCTGGCAGAAGGATGCTGTAATATTCATTGAACTTTTGAAGGTGTAACTTATGTTATTTGCCATAACTAAAGCCAAAATCACGTTTTGGTTCAAAACAGCTGGCTGAAAATTTGTTTACCCACTTGTTCCAACTGATACAGCTTTTAAAATATGCCCCCGAAAGTAAATGTAAAACTTATGATAATTAATGGTAATTGCTTCTAGCAGCAGAAATTTATATCAGTTTTTTCATTACTCCGTTCTAGACGAACTTTTAAAGTACGTGTAAGGCATTACGAAAAACGTTTCCTTTAAAACAATCCTTTTGTTTCTTTGTTTTCTATGTCGGAACTAGAGAAACTTTATGCTCGTTTGTTAAGACGTCTTCCCGCAAAAGGAAGAGCTGGACCATTATGAGGATAAAGCGCGAAAGGATTGTGATAGAGTCAAGTTAGTTTTATTTATAGGTTATTTGTTTTTAGAGCTTAGTCTGATAAAAGGTAGTATAATTAGTCATGTGTACCCCTAACCCCCACCCGGATCCACATTCAAATCTTCTTATGTCAGACACAAGATAAAAGTGAAGTGTATGTGGTTTATATGGGTCGTAGTATATGGATCTTCTGGCAGTCTAATATAACGCTTTTAGTTTCATATATTGTGTCCTTGCTTTGTTTAACTCATCTTAATGCCTTCATGCCATTGTTAGACAACCCACGTAAATACGCCAACCTATATTTACCGTTTATAAATCGAGTTTATAATTTGACTTTATAATTGCAGTATAAAAAAGCAAGGTATCCAGCCCTTGGGAATTTTTGACAAAACCTCGGCATCTTTCTTTAAAAAAAAACAAACAACCAAACAAACAAACATACAAACAAAACTGAAAAGAAAAAATATTGGAAATCCCATTTAATTTTGGTGAGAATATTTTCTACGTCATTATATATGGTATTATTTCTTTATGATATTCTGAGCTGAAAATACGTCAGTTCCCACATCTACTGACCGTCAATATCAGACCCATAAGTTTATGCACCAGGGACAACTTTGTCAAAATAATTACGATCATGACTCAGTTTCGTAATTTTCAATAACTGATTGTAGCATTGAGTGACATGGACTATTCCAACTAATTTAAAACTGTTTTTTTTTTTTTTTTAAATCAAATTAATTCGTGATATTAAAATTGAACTTAATAGTAATAATATTGAAGCTATATTGTATTACCGATAAGTTGTGGTTGAAATCAATGCTGTCTGTTCACTTTATCTTTAAATTATACTATACTATAATTTTACTCAGTCACGAGCAAACTCAGAATACACTAAAAATGTTTGCTGAAGGGTGCTGAAGCTACCTGGAGATCCTTTCCTGACATATTTTGCTAAATATAGATATAGAGGATATTACACGGTGGCGAGAAGATATGAATTTTATGTTCGAGTGGCAAGAACAATATCAGAACATAAAATTCATATCTTCGAGCCAACGTGTAATATTCTTTTTATTATATGGAGAAACCAATTCAACAAAAGCAAAAGGCGGGAATCGTGACGTCATTGAACGATACGACACTCACAAAGGTGACATACGGAAAATACGCCACTCGGGTCCCGGATGAAGTGGCGTATGAAATCTACGAGTGGCTTAGTTCCCAGTAAAACACTCTCCTCCATATAATAAATACAGCTATGCTAATCTCCTTCCTTAAGATATTAGAATATCGCCCAGTAAGTTTCTCATTATAGGAACACACTTATTATGATTGTTTGCTCGACCATACTGTTTTTAATTGGCTAAAATCCCCCGGCTAATTCTTTACAACCGGCCGGCGTTGACAAAATTTGGAAGATGCGAGTAATATACCATCCACAGTATATTTGCCTGGAAACGAGGCTGCTTGGGCAATCAGCATACCATCAATCAACCTCGTTTCTAGGCGCGACCTCCTAGCTGTTTATTAGCGAGTGAACTAAAAATAATTGGCGTACACAGCATATCCGAAGACGAAATAGCTGAACGGAAGAAATGTACGAATACGCAAAATATATTGCTCGATGATTGTTACCTACTTTTTAAGAGGTAAATGCGAGAAAAAAAAACAGCCTTTTTATCCTGAGATCGTGCCGAGAAATAGGCCATTGCTTTGAAAACAAAATCTACGAGGAGGTAAGCTATATAAGAGCTTAGTAATATTTTAAATATGAATTATAAAACAATTTTTGAGTTAAGTTTCCGTATGATGTGAAGAAGTTTGCTGATCTCAGAGCCTCTTTTTATGCAATCTTAACAAAAACAGATACTTACCGGGAGCAAATTACACATAAAGGCAATACTCTGAACGGTGCTTACAAGTTGACACTGACAATAACTAGGTTACAATTTGATACTCTGCAATTGCGCATTGCTTGTATAAATAAAAAACATAATTACATGAATGGAAGATTAAACATTTGAGAGAGAAATTTTCATGGCAGTTGAGCTCGTTTGAAACATCTTATGCAAGGGACCGACAACTAAGATTTTTCAATGTAAAGTCTGCAATAGCTCTCATTTTTTGCTGGGGCTATCACCAGGTTTTAGCTCCAGTAGATAGGTTGGTTTAAGGTATTGTAGAAAGTCTTGTATATTAGAAGAGGCTATCTTATTTTTACATATCCAAATATGATGTCTGGCTAATAATACATTTACACTTACCATATTACATATATTATATTCCCTCTCTACAAGGCTTATATGTTCGGATTCGGTGTACTGTCGCAATTTGTAATAATCATCGCACTTTGTAATAGCTGTCGCAATTTGCAATAAATCCATCGCACTTTGTAATACCTGTCGCAATTTGTAATAAACCATGTCGCACTTTGTAATAAAAAAGGTGTTGCACTTCGTAATAAACTAAGCTGTCGCAATTTGTAATAATTCCATCGCACTTTGTAATAACTTTTTGAGAGTAATAAAACTTACTTCATCAACATTAATATAACGCCAAAATATGCATGGTACTTCGTAAACAAAGATGATAACGTCTGCCAGCACGTAACATCTCCGCTCATTCAAAAATTTAACTTTATTCACAGTCCTAAACATTTCTTTTAGATTAATGTTGATTAGTTATCTGACTTACGAAATGATGTATTCTTAAAACCTTGCTATTGTACTAGGTGGCTTGCATTAAATGGTTACCCGGCGGGTGTACTTCCTTATATGAGCGTCTACAAGAAAGAGCCTTAAGATTAGTGTATACTACTACTGAAAGTTATGACACCTTGCTGAAAAGAGCTAAGTTAACTTCTTTACAAAATAGGAGGTTGCAGGATATACTCATTTTGATGTTTAAAGCAAAAAACAAATTAACAGTGAACCAAATTGCGGACATTTATAATATCAACGAAGAGAGTACTAATAGTAAGAGATATAACCTAAGAAATGCAGATTTTGTCTTACCTCGGTTTAAAATTGTTACTTATGGAAGACATTCTCTCAGATTTCTCGGACCACAATTGTGGTCAAAATTAAGCAAGGAGGAGAGAAATATCGGAACTTTGGCAACTTTTAGGACAATGATACGTAAGAAGGATGTAACATCATTTCTTGAAGGATGTGGGAGTGAATGCCGCTTATGCTTAGGTTAACTGGACGTACGCATTTTTACTTATTCATTTTAGTGTCCGAGCTCATATATGCATTTAGTTTTTATTTTGTAAATTTAGAACTTAGCTTAAAGTGTTAAAGAGTAAATTTAGAACTTAGTTTTAAAGTGTAAGAGAGTACTTAGCTTGAATAGTGTTAATTTCCGGCTTTTTTTATATGTTTTATAGTATTTAATTAGCTGCTTTTAATGATGTAATTTAGTTTTAAAGGTGTCCCCAATTCGTGCCAATAGACACTAGAACGATTAGACACTTTAATAAAGGTTATGTATGTATGGCCAATACGGGGATGTCCCCCTGGACAGAGCATTGCCAGAGTACAGGATCTAGACAGAACTAGACACACTAGACACAAACGAGCCATTATTAAAAAGCATTTAATTTCCGCAAATCGTAACATCCATCCTACATTATTCGAAAAAGGACACCAGGAGAGTTCAAGTTTTCCTTGTTAGATCTTATAACAGGTCAACACAACACGTGGTGCACCGTTCTTGTCTAATGCGCAATCTTAAAGAAGTAATAGTGGCTTCCATATTTTGGCCAACTTAATCAAACGAGGCCTGGAAAGATTCAAAATGTTCACTGCAAATAAAGAAAAAACGTCACCAGTGGCAAACCGTCGAACCACAACAGAAACCTAAACACAAAATCCAATTAGTCGCTGGCCAATACCTTCGTATGTAACTACCTGAGTTACCCTATCTAAGGATCAAACCAAAGACACCAAGCCAACAACGTAAAAAAAAATACCCTATTAAAGGCTCGAGATCCTCAAAAACCACACCCTATCAGGCGGTACTTACCTATCTAGCCCATCCATGGGATTATCCCCCCCACCCCCCGAAGACTTCACGTGTCACGTGGCAAGCAAACATGGATTTGGACGACGAATGCTAGGTTATTCATAAATTTTTTCTGTTGTTAAATGTTGCTTTTGTTATTTAAATATTTTTGAATTTAAACATGATTCATATCTTTTTGATGATATGTCAAAGGAAGTTTCATGTCTTTCATAAAGCGTTTCTAGTTGGTCACGTGATTAATCAAGGCAGAAAAATTTATAGCGGAAGACATGCATGTTTGATCAAAGAAAATGTTACGGAGATGTTACGTGCTAGCAGACGTTATCATCTTTGTTTATGAAGTACCATGCATATTTTGGCGTAATATTAATGTTGACGAAGTTAGTTGAATCATTCTCAACAAATTATTATTACAAAGTGCGATGGAATTATTACAAATTGCGTCAGTCAACTTAGTTTATTACAAAGTGCGATTGACTATTATTACAAATTGCGTCACCTTTTTTATTACAAAGTACGTCACGGTTTATTACAAATTGCGAAAGCTATTACAAAGTGCGATGGATTTATTACAAATTGCGACAGCTATTACAAAGTGCGATGGATTTATTACAAATTG